AAAGCTTAAATTATCTGAGATTCTCAAAAAAGTGTCTTTTAAAAAAGAAGAGCCTCGTCCTCGGGCGCCCGGCCACGCTATCTTAAGAGATGCTTCAGATGTTCTACAACCTGAGGATTATCCTGCTTCACCATGTAAGTTTTCAGACGTACAAGATATACAGCCTGTTTTATGGATATAGAAGTTGAGACACAGGAGGCACTGTCAGGAATGTGTTCTTGATTTGTTTTATGCCTATAATACACTACATTTGGGCGGTTAGATTTATTTTTTTATTTTTTAATTTTGAAAGAAGCTTCTTATGCTCAACAAGACTGCATTTGTTTTAAATAGTTAAAATGTAATATTGTGAAATGTCATAGAATTGTTTTCCATTTAATATAGACGAATCCGGCGAAACTACCGGAAGTAAGCGGGGCGCCATTACTGAGCTGTTGCTGGGTAGCGTTGCGCCATTGCCTCCTATTGTTTTAGTTGCAACTTGCGTCCACTGGAATAAACAGCCCGCCGATTTACGACTGTCACTAACGTTACAACGTTATCCCTTGTATAAATGTCGAGTGGGTAAACAGTTTCCGTTATAAATTGTTTCATGGTGGCAGTAAAATTTCAATTTTGAAGAGAAAACACTGTGAATACCGGGCGACGCCCCTGTCTGGTGATTTGGGCGAGTACAAGACGTGGACATTCGCGTATAATAACAATTATTTAATGACATAAGTAAAAAAAATATAATAAATATGTGATATAGTAATCAGCAAAATCTCCTCTCTTGCTATTTTTTCTATTAAATTAACATGCTATGGTCATTAAATGGCTTTCCTGAGCTAAATGTAACGTTATGTGACATAATTGTTCTCCCGCTGTTATATTGACCTCTTTCCATGGTTTAAAAACACTAATTGGTCGATATTATGTATACTTTCTAGCTGTAACGTTACCTTACCTTGCCTTTGCAATGTGAAAATGAAGATAAATAATGGACACAAATGAAAACATGAATTTGTTTATTTGATTTCATTCATTTATTTATTTATTGTTGCCAAAATGGACAGATCTTTTTATAGTTTCCTCGTTAGCAAACGTTAGCCTAGCTAGCTTGCCAAGCTATTTTCATAAATAACGTTAATCTGTAAGATCGTTTGTACCTTCATCTGTGACTGGAGGCCACTGCAGTCACAGATCAAACCAACAAGTCATTCTGCCTGGCTGTAGCTGTCATCGAGGGTGAGTTCGCGTTATCACCGAGGTTTGTTTACATAGCGGTGCATATGTCTATATGCCTGTGTAACAGCTCAGTAATGGCGTCGCCACAAGATGGCAGCCTACACAGAACGCTCGTCGGATTCGTCTATATCTTAAAGGTGCTCTCGATGTCGGGTGACGTCACTTCTTGTTGACGTTCGAAGTATTGTCAAACAAAACGGAGTCTAGCTAGACTCATCCTGTCCCTCTCCTGTAGTTTTACTGATACTTCATTCAAGTTGTAATGGCCAAGTTAGATAAATGCTTTCATATAATGTAGAAAAGAGTAACATTACCAGAAAAACACAATAAAACGTTTTGCCACCCGATGTTGTAACTTTAGCGCCCATAAGGACGCAATAATAGCAAAAAATGTTAGCTTTGCATTTCCCAGTGAGCGTAAACTAACATTATCTGAATGTCGGATTGGAAGCCCTTCTGCCGCAGGAGATCTCGCCACTTTTAAAAGGCTTTTCTAATGTAAATTCGGGACTTCGCGCATCCCTTATCCTTTTCCCTCTTCTTTGCATTTTTGCAATCTGTTCATCGGAACTTCGTCTCGTTGTTCGTGTGTCGGCCATATCAAACTTAAAGAGTTATAATTCTAACTTCCCTCTTCATGCTTCTCTCTCCTCTCCTCCACACCCCCTTCATGTGTATGCGCACAGCACTAACCACCCAAATCATTCTAGTTGGTTATTGGCTCGATCACTGTTTGTTTTGTTTCGTGGAGCGGGTTGGGCAGTTTGTTTTTGTTGCCGTTGGTGGAGCCTGGACTGTCTACAGAGACCGTGTTTTTTTTTTTTTTACAGTGTGTTCAGGGGACAGCCAGCTAGCAGATAGTGAGGAGATGTTTGCTCTGTGTCAAAAAATGGTTTGGCCTAAAAAATGCGTGACATCGCTTAGAGCCCCTTTAAAATGTAATTTATTTCTGTGATGCAAAGCTGAATTTTCACCATTATTACTCTAGTCTTCAGCGTCTCATGATCTTTCAGAAATCACACATCATTCAGAAATCATCCTCATCATCACTTTACTATCACTTTTGATCAATTTAAATGCATTCTTGCTGAATAAAATTATTAATTTCGTACTGACACCAAACTTTAGTACGATATGAACTCTGCTCATGATATTATGTAATTTTTTTTTTCCTCAGCCCGTCCTCCTGAGTTTTATGATGATGTGGCAGAAACTTTGGACAGAATTGCACAGAAACACAGTGTAAAAAAGAAATCCCCTGTTAAACCTGAGCCAAGTCCACCCAAAGGTACATATAAAAGCATAAACTGATGCAAAACTTGTTTATGACCTGATGAATTTAATATGTGTGAAGTACATTTTCAGTGGAATATCAAAGCAAGAGCAGACCAGTAATGTTACGTCACATCTTGCTGTTTGATTTAGTTATGGAAAGGGATGTGATTTAACAATACAGTGCTTGAACAATAGCTTATTGTTATAGTGGACTGATGGTCTGGCTGAGGTCTTTTCACTTGTTTTTGTTTGGAGATTAGGTTACACTTCTTCTTTTTGTTTGCAGTAAATGACAAAGAAGCTGTGGTTCAGCAGCTAGTTCAGATATTGACTTCAGAGGGGGATACCATTAACAGCAAGGTATATTCCCTGATCTGAGTTCACCTTTCTTTCTAATCATTTTTATATCTCTCTAGGATATAGAGTAAACTTTGCTCTTAAAGCAGCTCTTGGTTCTTTATCGTAAAGTTTTAATTGAAGTCATAAATTTTGAGTTTTTGACTATTTATAGTCATATTTTGAGTTGCTGCCTTGTTTATCATTGTTAATTGTGGTTTAATGTTGTAGATAAACACCAACCCCTTCCTGCGGTCCACCCTCTCCCGCATCTCCTACGCTTCTTTTGCCAAACTCCTTGACACGTACGCCGGTCAGAGTGAAGAACCTCCTGTTCCCGCACCGGTCAGCCCTACGCTGCGGCGTCTCGCCATCACCATGGACGTGTCTCGTCGAGTCGTCACAGCTACTGGTGTTCAGCGTCTCACAGGCTATGCTGAACGCTACATGGAAAGCTTTGCACCATGGGTGAGGAGCCACGGAGGATGGGTGAGCAGTTTTTGCTATCTAACTTTTCCTCAGTCTCTCTTTGGGATGTTCATCTGCTTTTTTCTTCCAGAAGGGGGCACAATTGTGTCAAGTAATCCTCTCTTTTTGTGTCTTCTTCCACAGGATAAAATTGCATATTTGGATGAGGTCCTGGAGTGTGATTGACCTCAGACCTTTTCATAATGAACTCATGAAAGTTCTCAAATCATGTAGCATGACCTCTGTGAGGCAAAGAAGAAGACTGGGGAATTGACACTACTTGATTAGAAATTTTCTCTGCTGATGTATTTATTATTCTTTTGTATTTTGGATGTTTTTTATGTGACATTTTATACTAAAATACATGATGTCAATCTTCTTCTGTTGTACTGCATTCTTTTTTATTTGTAATGACTTTAACCGACGATAATATAGTACAGACCATTGGTTTAGTATAACAAATCATCAACTCTTAAACATTTAATTTCCATTTATAGGAAATTTACATTAATTGCATGTTCATCGCAAGCAGTTATAACGGTATTTAACAAAGAGTGCAATAATTCTAGGATTTACATTTTTCACCTACTGTATACCTTTACTTTATATTCATTTAATCTTATTTTTCTAAGTACAATTGAATTATTTAGCCTTTTATCTGGTAAATTAATTTATTTGAGATTCGTCTGAGCTGTACTATAAGTGCAGTACTATAATCTATGTGCACATGCATATCACGTCGAGTATCTCTAATAGGCAAATCTGTTTAAACATTCATTACATATTCAGAATAGAGCGAAGGATGGGTCAGTCCATGTATTTTTCTGCTCGTAGGATTTGGCAGTACATCAGCATGGAGAACACCAAAGCAAGAATCTGGAGGGAGAAAAATGCGGTCGCATTATACCAGTGCTTAAATTCATATATTAATCAAATTATACCAGATACACAAGTTTAAAAGTACCTGAACAATTCCAATACAAACTCCAAACCCAAGCACCGAGGTGATGTTAGCCAGCAGCCAGTCCTTAGCCTTCTCATAACACGGCTAAAACACATTCAAAAAACAGTTTTATAAACTGGTCATCATCCCAAAGTAAGCCGTGACCGTAATCAGGGTCTCGGTTTGATTTGAGATAATGACTGGCTGGAACTACATCTTTTTTAATACATAGTTACCAAATACATAAACAAACGGACATGAAATTGTAATTGTACTCCATACCATTCAGATGTTTGGGGTTAGTAACTTCTTTCACTCTTGGTTTCACAGACAAGGCAGTCTCAGACTAAAATGCATGTTTGAGCTGCTTTAACTGAAAGCAACTTGCTCTAATATATCTTAAAATATGTCAGTGCCGTTGTTTTGTCTCAAGATTCAAACCAGTAATGGGTTATATATAATAAGTTATTATTATATATAATAAGTTATTAAAGTCACTTAAAGGCCCTAATTGAACTAAGACCTAATCCTGGCTTAATCTAAGACCTGTCTGTGAAACCGGGCCTTTATGATTTGGAAAGACAGTCTTATGCTCACCAAGTCTGCAATTATCGGATCATAAATACAGTAAAAGCAAAAATTTCTATTATTTTTCAAATTTTAAATATATTTGTAAGAAATTTGAGAAAACTAAAAATTGTTTACTGTAATATGTCATTAATAGCATTATACGACTTAAAATATGATCATTTTGAAGATATTTTGTTTGTAACTGTAAATTGTAAGTTCTGATTACAATTTAAAATAAAATTAAAAAATAGTGATTTTTTTTAAAGTGTACATTTTACGATGTAATTTATTCCTGTGATGACAAAGCTGAATTTTCAGCATCATTACCCCAGTCTTCAGTGTCAAATGATCCTTCAGAAATAATAACCATAATATGCTGATTTCTTACAAAAATGCATCGTTTCGCTTCAGATGGCCTTTATTATCCCCCTGGAGCCGTGGTTTGGATTACTTTTATTATTTATGGATGCGCTTTTTTGGGCTTCAAAATCTCCGGTGCTACTCACTCCCATTATACAGCTTTGAAGAGCCAGAATATTTTTAATAGCCTATAATTTTGAATGTGTTTGGCTGAAATAAGAAAGTCATATTATGCAACACCTAGGATGGCTTGAGGGTGAGTAAATTATGGGATCATTTTAATTTTTTGGATGAACTAACACCTTAACATATCAGATTTATGTAGGGTTTGTGCCAGATTTCATTTTATAATACGCTTATGGTTGCAATTATCAACCGCTGGCAGGATTGAGGGACGTGTGGTACTGACTCCATGACCCCAGAAATGTTCTGACCTCTTCCCAATGATGGCATTCTACAGATTTATCCCTGCAGCAAGAGAAAGGAAGTTTGCCTTCTGATGTTTTATTGTGCCAGTCGGTGTGGTTGCTCACGCCACAGCACTTGAACTGAAAGAGACAGAATCCATGATATACATTGAAAAATCTTATTCTTCATATTTGTGACCGTTATAAACCCAACTCACAATCGTCTGCATTTTGTTCCAGGAATTTTGCAGCCCTTTATTTCTTTCATAGTCATTCATTCCTTCTCTTAGGTCATCCTTAGCCTTTTTGTCCAACTAAATGGATGAAAACCGAGACAAGCGGATAAACAGGAAGTAGAAGGCAAAGTGTTTTCCTGAAAGGAAAGGCTGAAATATTTGCAAGGCTCAGACGTTAGTCTCTTACCTCTTCATGATACACACTCAAAACCAAAATCAGTGCCATTTCTGTCAGGACTAGAAACAAGAGGATCACAAAAAACTGAAAGAACAAGAAAAAGCTATTAGAGTACATGAATGACAACAATATTCCCATAGGGATAAAACTCACCAATTAAATATTTGTATTAACGCATTTACTTCTCGTAGGCAACAGTGATATGCCTTCCTCTGCTTCTCAGATATTTAACCTGAAAAGTATCATTCTGGTCTCAAATTTGCCAAAATCAATCAAATTCTTAGATTTCAATATGAACTAAAATATTTCTCATCAAATACAAGTCCAAATTATTTGAACTATACTGCTATAGACACTAATTTTTTTACCTATAAGGAGAAATATTAGAGAGGATGATACTTGAACTTATTTTTTTTACAGGAAATTAAAATAATTTAATTATGTACATTATTAAATTAATATACTGCCGTTCAAACATTTTAATTTTAAATGTTCTGGAATAAATTATCTTTTATACTGGCATCATGGGTGGCAAAAATGACGTCATGCTTACCAAGGACATACAGCAGAAACTATTAAAATATTATTACATTTTAAATAACTGTTTTCTATTTTAAAATGTAATTAGAGCTAGAGTGGGCAAAAATATATATGAAGAGTTCAGATGCAAAAGCCTCTAAGTGCCATTTGAAATTTTCTTCTAAAATGGTCATTTTTATCAAGCTTATATATTCAAGTTCAGTAATTTCACTTAAATGACAATTAATAGGTAATCCTCATTGCAATTTAAGTGAAATTACTGAACTTAAATATACAAGCTTGACAAAAATGATCATCCTAGAAGAAAATTTCAAATGGCACTTAGAGGCTTTTGCATCTGAACTCTTCATATATAAACACATTTTGTTGGTTGAAAAACTCTTCACATCCTGAGAGCAATCAATAACATCTGGTCGAAATATGTAAACGATGGAAATGCTAAATTTTCAGCAGCTATTATTCCAGTCTTCAGCATCAGATGAGGACAGTTTCCGTACTTGTTTTACAGATGTCAGTAAGGATCCAGGTACCTTACCGTCATCAATAGACACTTCTGCTCTTTTAGAGCACCAAGGCATCCGAGAAATCCTGTCACCATGGTGACGCCCCCAGCAACAAGCAGCAGGTTGGCCGCGGAAAGTGAAGGGAAGGACAGCGGTAGAGATGAAAACTCAGACTGTGTGAAGGTGAGCCACACCCCGACACCAAATAAACCACATCCTCCCAACTGCACAAACAAGCAGGTAAAGAAAAATAACTTTGCATCAGTTTAAGGTAGGTCATAGGAACAAGTGTAGGCCTGCATGGCCTATAAACACAATAGGCTAGTATTGAACATATTCTTAAATATTTTGTGAATATTTATTGAACAAATGGAATACACTTCTCGTATCACCACTCAAACGTTAAAAAAAAGCCTATAGTGTATGTTTCAATGTTCTGTACAATCATTAAAGAAGAACAATACACATATTCCACATATTTTTACAGTGTATACTCCAGCCTTCAGTTTTATGATTGACTGAGCAGCGTTCCATGACTGTTTTTCTGTTACAACGTTACAAACAAAAGTGACATCATTCACTCAATTCGCTGAGTGAATGATTCAAAGATTCGATCCACAACATTCACAGGAACGCCACTACTGGGACACGTAACAGTTGTTTCTGATAAGTTGGTGAATATGGTGATGTTAACTGAAAATAGATCCTCTATTTTCCAAACTGATAATCTGCAGAACCCTAAAACAGAACTAACCCAAAAGATGAGGTTGAAGATAAACATGAGGTACTTCACACAGCAGAGGCAACCTCGTGACGCAGACATTCTGCATGAAAGAAAGAAAGACAGGAATAGAATCACAAAATGATGATATATATATATTGTGTGTGCTTTTAACGTGTGCAAACTTTCACACTCTCCTAAACATATCATGGAGAGGAAGTGCTGTTTCCAGGCAGGAAGAAACCACCCTTGTGTTACTGCTGATAGCATTAACTAGAAAAAGCCATTATGTTCCATGACTAAAACATACCTACTCATGTAGGGCCTTTCTTATACTTTAATCTCAAAGAATATTGTGGACTTATATGTGCGCCTCATGTTCCATGAGCAGAAATCAACATTGTCATGTTGGTGGTAATTTTGCTCTTTCTGTTCCACAGAATGTGCTCTACATGTGACCACAGAGCATATTACGGGACAAAATGTAAACATATAAGCCCCCTCAAAGTCAGGCAGCACATGGATTTATGATCTGATTTCAGTGGTATGTCAGTAATGGTTCTGGAAATTGGCACCATATGTATGCTGGAATTAAAGAGTTCTTTAAATATGAGATCATTTTAAACCTAAATAGTTTCTTGTGATTATAAATGCTGAGAAAAGTGTGCTTGAAGTGTACCTCCACTTTTTCTTTTTATATGCAACTCTTTTTTTAATCAATTCTGCCAGTCCATAAAATATTTTTTTTTCTTTTTTGACATAAATGGAAAACACAAATTTTCATCTATCTTGTCAGTCTATCTCAGTAAATCAAGGTTTGCTCAAAATCACTGTCAACAACATTGTTTTCTCTATCTGCTTCAGTGGATTGTAAACAGTACCCAAATCTATATATTTAATATTCCAAAATTTACATTAAAC